ATAGAGGACATGGAGAGCCTGAAACGAGAGAACTTTGAGGGGCTATTACGGGTGAGTGAGCTAGAGGAAAACATTGCACGGATAGAGTGGGAACTGGAGATGGCTCAGTCACAAAAAGAGCAGGCGGAGGCCAAAGTGGCCACTTTAGAGGCGCGAGTACAACCAGGAAAGAAGGAGGGCTCTAAAGAAATGAGGCGCTTAATGGCAGCAGAGGCAGAGAAGGCTCGTGCAGTAGAACGACTCGTAGCAGAGGAAGCTAAGAAAAGTAGGCAGAGAGAGGAGAAATTGCGAGAGATGCAGAAACGAATGGCAGTATGGGAGAAGAAATCCACAGAACCTGATATGGGGGAACAAAAAGAAACGAAACAACGTCTGGAGGTATCCAAGAACCTCATAGCAGCCCTCCAGGAAGAAATCCGTGACCAAGCGGAACAGATAGAGACCATGAGGGAGAACGTGGAAATCTGGCGGGAGAGATGCGACCAGGCTGAACGCTTGGTTGTGGAGCTTAGAAAGAAGCTGGCAGAAAATCATGTACAGGTAGAAGAAACCAGGAAAGTAATAATAAGAGAGATGGAGAGAGTGAGAGAATATACGGCCAGGCAGGAGGCTTTAGAAGGACGGAAGCCGTTCCTTCTGAGATAAGAGCCAAAACAGAGGAGCACCTGAAGCTGCAATCCCAGCTGCAGACCGCGAAGGCGGAAAATGACAGCCTGGAAGACCAGGTACAGCACCTTAAAGCCCTTCTAGAAGAGAATTCGGCTAAGGAGGCAGCAACCGACACTGAGAGGGAGCAGCTACGGCAGCAGATGCAAACCTTGAGACAGCAGGTACAGGCCTTAGAGGAACAGATTGAAATGTTCCAGGAACAGAGACAGTCCCTGCAAATAGAGGTAGAGAGTAAAACAAGAGAGTGTGCGGAGTTGCAGGCCCGGTGGCAAAGGGTGGAGGAGGAAAGGGACCAATGCAGGGAAGAGATGCAGTCCCTGAAAAGCTTGCTAAAAGAAGGTACGGCTGGTGAGACAGCTGCACTGCAGGAGAGTGACCAGCGGCTAGTACAGACTGCCCAGGCACAGAGAGAACAGCTAATCGCGATAGCTAAGCAATTGGAGGAGCATGTGTCCTGGACTACTACTATGTGCCAGGAACAGTGGCAAGAGCTGGGAACCTTGAAAGGAAGTCTGGTAGAAGCAGGAGAATGGGCAGAGAGAACCCATACCATATATTTAAAGGGCTGGGTGAACCCAGAAATCCAGGAGAATACAGGGATAGGAAGCCCCGAGAAGGGAGTAGAATGGCAAGAGAAGGGAATAATGACAACAGAACCTCCCGAAACAGATGACAGTAACGGGGAAAGAGAGTATTCCTACGATTGTCAAACGCCTCGAGCGAGAGTGGGAGCGCTGGGCCGGACAGCATGCCATAGAGCTGAATAGCTTGAGAGAGAGAGTGGAAGAACTCTCCAAAAGAAATGATGTGGGGGTAATCCCCATGCCAAGGTCGGCACAACCGAAAGGGGTAAAAGGAGAGAAAGTAGTAGCGGCGCAAGACAGCGAGGAGGTTCAAGGCAGCGACATAATCGGTGATCCATACTGCCCTCACCGCACTAAAAAGGGGGGACAGTTAGGGAAGGAAGAAAGGCCTAGGCTGAAGAGAAGGGGCCAAAACCCCAAGGAACTTAAGGGGGGAGGAGAGAGACATGTTAAACTCCAACTTAAGGATAAGACATCTGGGCTGGTGCAACAGTGGAGAGCAAATCGAGTGCAGGCTACAGGCCCTGCTAAGGAGGCTAGTAGGCCCTCAACAACGGGAATAACTCGATCAGAGAGGGAACAAAAGGGGAGAAAGAGGCCCTATGTGTATGTTAATAATCTCCCGGGGCAAATTAAATGGTGGACCCTGAGGAGAATTGTTGAGGCCAGAGTTGGAGGAGTGGCGTTCGTGAAGGTGTATATAGGACCGGATGGGAGATCCACTGGTCAAGGAAAAATAGAGTTCTGGGAAGAGGAAAATGTCCAGCGAGCACTGAAAATGCAGTGGGAGCTTTGGGGAAAGCTCAGAGACTGGCAAGAGACCAAGGGGACATCAGAAAGGAGAGGTGATTATAGGGAACACGGAGGAGGAGCTTTCAGACCGAGATGGAGAAAGGAAAACAAGATACCCCGAACTGGAGAAAACTGCTCCGCCAGGAAGAGTGTGGAGGTGGCAAAGGAGGAGAGAACAGAGGCCTAGTTTACACCCTACCAGGGAGAAGCTAGTGTGGGGGGACTACCTTTGGCAGGGTAAATCCCGGGAAATCCCACGCGGTGCACCCTGGGGAAAAGGCGAGCAGGAGGCGCCTTAAAACCTCTGCCACTTGCTCAGAAAGCGCTGGGTGCCAGAAGAAAGGCCAGGAAGAGCCGCCGAGTCCAATTGGATTGGAAAAGGATGAAGATCTGCCTCGGTGAGTCATGATCTTAAGGGGGGAGGTGTGTCGCAGAGCACCTCGGTGCTCTGCTCCTAGAGGGGAGAAACTGGCAGGGAGAGAGACAGAGCCCTGGCAGGTCATAATGAGCCCAGCTGAGTGTTGCCAGGGTAACGAGCCCAGCTGTGGGTTGCCGGGGCAACTAAGGAGAGCCAGCTGCCTGTAGGAGGCAGG